GGCAGATCGAGGAGGAGCAGCAGGACCACGAGGGAGACGAGCGGGAGCGGGGGCGGGGGCACGACGGAGCAGCCGCACCAGGGGGGGAGAAGGGGGTGCTGCGCCGCGGCGGTGCCGCGGCGTTGGCCCCCCGCAGCTCCCGACGCGGCCCCCCGGGGGACCAGCAGTCTCAGGCCGTGCGAGGCGGGGGCGTATGCATATCACCACCGCCGCGGGGATCGATCGTCGAGAACCCCGGGCAGGCGACGGGCTCGGGGGCGTCCAGGGAGAGGGGCGTCCGAGGAGGGGGCTGCGCAAAGCATGGCGCGGACGAGGGGGGGGACCAAGGGACGTACTGCAATGGGAAGCGGGGCCAGGAAATCTGGGCAGGCATCATGGCCGCGGACATGGCATCCCCCCACATGCATACATACAGACATACCTACAGACATACACACACATACATACAACGTGTATACTTATATACATACATACACGCATGCATGCATACATAAACATCTACCTATATGCATACATACACGTATACATTCATACATACATTCATACGCATACACATACACACATTCACACATACATGCCCGCATACATACATACATACATACATACACACATTCATAAATACATACATACATACATACATACATGCATGCATGCATGCATGCATGCATGCATGCGTGCTTGAATACACACACGTCGACATACCTACACATCCATACACATACACATACACATACCCATACACATACACAACCACCTACACATGCGCATACATACGGACACATACACACATCTATACATAGAGTCACACAAACATACATACATACACAAACACGTACACACATGCATACACACCTACACACGTACATGCATACACCCATGCGCACGACATACATGCATACGTTCATGCATACATGCACACCTACATGCATGCATACATATATACATACATACATACAACCATGCATGCATACGTATATATCAAATCGACACACGCATACACGCATGCATACACGACTGCCCGTGTATATTTACATATGCTGTACACACAAATATACACATACACATGTACATATACAGTTATGTACACATTTACATTGACATACTACTGTACATACATACATGCAAAAACACACGAATCCACACATACGTACGCACAAACAAACGTACATACATACACACGTACATACCACATCCATACACACATACATAAATACATACCCGTATCAAAATGCACATGCTGACATACATATGTGTACACATATGCATATACACATCCATGTACGCACACATCGATTTGTACATATAATTGTACATACATGTCTGCACACATACACGCATGCGCATACAAACATACAATCATACACATACACATACATACATACATACATACATCCACGCATGGGCACATACATACAGACTGCATACGCACAGGCATACAGAAATGCAGATAACCATACACACATACATAGTACACACATGCTGCATACAGACATAGAATCACACATATATATGTATCACAGAAATTTTCACGTACACATACATGCATACATATCCGTACACATATACATTTGATCTACATACACATTCATACGTACTATACGTACATAGTTACGCACACAAACACACGAATACACATACATGCACACATGCACTCATACACATATCCATTTCTACATACATACGCGCATAGACACACATAGGTATATATTTATTAACTGTATCCACACCAACATATAAACATACATACATACATACACACCTACACAGACCTACTACACATAATGCACACAACCATACAAATGTACACGCATGTATGCATGCGTGCACAAATACATACATACACACAGACATACATACATGCATGCATGCATGTATGCGCGTATGTATACACACATACGTACATACGCGTATGTATGTATGCACAATTACATGTAAACATACAGACATGAATGCTTACATACTTACATGCACGCATACACACATACATACATGCATGTATACATACATACATACATACATACACGCATACATACATACATCCGTGTCCGCCGCCCGCCGAGGTCCCCGAAGATTGATATCCCAGGCGGTGGTTATGGATACATCGCGACCTCGAAGATCCAGGGTGGGGACGCTTCTTTTGAGGGCCCCTGGGGGCACGACATGATCCTCCTGAGGCCGAAGGCCCGGAAAAACGTGTCGGAGCGCCCGAGATGTCTGCGTCCAAAACCGACCAGGGAGCCCACAACGTACGCAAGTACCCAACCACGTATATGAACACGGCCTCCCGAATCCGTGAAACTGGCCGCGTGATACGAACGATCGCGCCATGCGTACTCTCGAAACCAGGATTCACGTTTGGCAGCTTCGCGTCGTGCCGACCCTGGCGTTGGGTCCTGACACGACGTGGATGGTTCAACCTTGAACGATCGGCCGTTTCCGCAACGTCAGATCGTTCCACGTCTTGGGCGTGGCTTAGTGGGGGGGTCATAACTGGGGGGGTCAGAAACGGTCCCCTTTCGTGCCCCTTTCGGGCCCCTCTCGAGCCCCAGGGGGCTCGTTTAGGTACCGTTTGGGTACCTTTTCGGACCACCCGCGACACCCCCCCATTTATGACCCCTCCATTACGCAACGCCCAAACGTCGACCGATTCTGGGTCGCCGGCGGCGTTCAACGTGGAACGCCAGCGTCGGGGCCGCCGCCGGCCGGCTCGTCGCGAGCCAATCCCGAACGTGTACAGGGCACGCTCACGAGCCCTCGAAACCGATCCTTCGAGACGGCGACGCGAACAAAATACTGCACTGCAACACTTCCAGAATGAACCCGGACACAGGCCCCAGAAGCCTGGAAGAGCCCCTAGACCCGACACAGACCCGAATGCTGCAGTGCAGCTAACAAAACATGCACGGGTGCCGTAACATCATGTTGCAGCCTTCCCCCAAACACAAAGTGCGCAAAAGTGCACAACGGTGCGCAAATGTGCCCCCTCGAATGTGCACAACATGCGCCAGAATGTTGTTGCGCGATGCTCCCTCGTTGTTATACAGAACCGTGGTTCACTGTTTCCAAGGACGAACGTCCATTTGAAAATCGGCTCCCATGAGTTGCTCTCGAGAACATGCGACTTTGCAAGAAAGGGTGCCGCTCCTTTGGTAGTCCGTGTCCTTGCTGTCTCCGTACCCTGGAGGCCGGAGGGCCTCCGGAGGAACGGGCGGAGGCGCGGCCGAGAGGTGTGCGGGACCTCAGGCCGTCAGATCCTACGTATGGAAGTTGTGCTGCTCTTGCGGTGTTGCAACTTGCGTTGAACTTACACCGCTGCAGTGAAACTTGCGCAGCTGCAGGTGAGGTACCACATCAAGCCGACCTTCATAACCTAAGATGTGGAAGTTGGTGAAGTTAGTGCGAGGGTGTTGTTTTGTCAAGCGGTTTTTAGGCGGCTGAAGTTGTAGAAGTTAGGTTTTGGAGTGGTTGAAGTTAGGTTTTAGAATGGTTAAAGTTGAAGAAGTTAGTTTTTCGTTTTTGTTTCAGCGCATTGTTTTTTGTTTGTTTGTTCGTGTTTGTGTTGCGTTATTCCTGTCCCCCTCAAACTTTTTTTTTTACGGGCGCAGCCCGTAATTTGATTCTCGCGAGGTAAACAGACAGACTGAACTGAACCACCAGGCCGTTAGATAGCAATTTTAAGCCAGCGGGTGAGGATATTTCAGTGGCAGTTTTAAGCCGGCGGGTGAGGATATTTCGGTGGCAGTTTTAAGCCAGCGGGAGAGGATGTTTTGGCGGCAGCTTTAGTTCCGCGGGTGAGGATATTTCGGTGACAGTTTTAAGCCAGCGGGTGGGGATATCTCAGTGGCAGTTTTAAGCCAGCGGGTGAGGATATTTCGGTGGCACTTTTAAGGCAGCGGGTGAGGATATTTCAGTGGCAGTTTCAAGCCAGCAGGTGAGGATATGTCGGTGGCAGTTTTAAGCCAGCGGGTGATGATATTTCGGCGGCAGCTTTATTTCCGCGGGTGAGGATACTTCGGTGACAGTTTTAAGCCAGCGGGTGGGGATATCTCAGTGGCAGTTTTAAGCCAGCGGGTGAGGATATTTCGGTGGCACTTTTAAGGCAGCCGGTGACAAGCACCCGCTCGATAACACCTCGATAACACCTCGATAGCACCTCGATAGCACAGTATCGAGATGTCATCGAGGTGCTATCGGGTGTCATCGAGAGGTTATCGAGAGCCATCGAGCTCGGTAACGCCCGACATAATCTCGATGACATCCGATAACGCCTCGATAGCCTCTTACCGAGGTGTTATCGAGGTGTTATCGCGGTGATATCGAGGGGCGCGCAGACACCCCAATGGGGTCCGCAGGGGATGGTCCCTCTCACAACGGTCTCTCTATACGCGCCAGTCTCGCAGGGCCCAGTTGGCGTGGCACGTTCTAGGCACCAGAGGGGGTTCGTGGGGGGTGACTCCTGGACGCAAGGCGTGACAGGCTGGCATTTCGTCGACACCACAGGAGGTGTGCACAGGGGGTGTGGGCGCCGTAGCCGTCGCAGGCTCGCAAGGTGTGGCCAGCGTGGCACTTCCTCTATACCACAGATGGTGCGCAGAGCGCGATTGTCGTGGCCGTCGCGCGCCCGCAAACAGTGGACTTCATATCGAAGAGCTGCGCACAGCCGCGCCATCGCCAAACAAACGCAGTTCTGACATGAATATGACCAAGGCGGGGTGGAAGGCAGAAAAGACGGAAAAGGGAGCAGAGGAGGATAGAGGAGGTTCACGCAATGCTGCGCTGCAAACATTGAGATCTTGCGTGACACTATGTTTGAACGTTCTGGAAAGCAGGATGTGAAACAGGTCATGAACACACACGATATAAAATAAGCATGCGGGCCGCAGGGTCTCTCGGTAGCGTAATTTCTTGCCTGCGTCGCCAAGTCTAGGAATGGGACGGTGTCTGGCGCGCCAGGGCGGGCGGGGCTGTCCCCGCGGCGTCCGCGTGGCCCTCCTGGACTGTCAGCATCGTGCTCTCGATCTCCCACCGGTCCTCGCGGTTGCGAAGGGCGCGCTTGCGCTGCGAGGCAAAGCCTGCTTGCGAGGGGGGGGGAGAAGGGAGGAGGGGTGGGAGGAGGACGAGGAGGAGGGGGGACGGAGGAGGGGTGGGAGGAGGAGGAAGAGAGGAGGGGATGGAGGGGGGGGAGAGACGGCAGAAAAGAGGAGGGGGAAGGGGAGGGGGGAGAGGTGGGAGGACGGAGGAGGAGGAGGAGGAGGAGGAGGAGGAGGAGGAGGAGGAGGAGGAGGAGGAGAGGAGCAGGAGGACCACACTCAATAGGACAGCGCCGAGCGCTCGTCAGCTCGAGGGTGAGGATGGCTTGCATGGGCCCCAACTTGACCGTGCGACCATTTCCACAGCTTTCATGCACACAGCCCTTCGTTCGTACAGCGCGCTGGTTTGTGCAGCTCGTTCGTCCTTGCAGGCCGCCGCCTGGGCGGACCAGGCGCCCTGCGCAGGTGCCCTGCGGAAAGGGGAGCGCGCCATGCCGCGCAGTGCGTCCGATTGAGGTGACCAAGGGCTATCCACCGGTCAGAAGAAGCGGTGACGAACGAACAGCACACACCCATACCCATAGGGGGGTCGTTGGGAGGAGGACTGGCTATGGGTATGGGTGCTGGTTGTCGGACCCTGGGGAACGCTCCCTGTATGGGTGTGTGTTGTTGGTTCGTCAAGCGGGTAGAAACACGAAGCAGGAAGGCGGCGAAGGTAGACTGGGCTTCCGCGCGCCCCCTGCAGAGGACGGAAACGGTGAAGCCACTCGGTCATTGAAGCAGGAAGGCGCTTTCGAAGTAGACTGGAACATGGGAAACCAACAACACGTACTTTCAACGACCGCTGGGTACGCCTGTCCTCTAGAAGCCCTGGAACACGCACTGGTCCAGCAAAGACATGGTCAGACTGCTCATGGCAGGGTGTACGCTGCCACCCCCAGAGCACCCACGGAGTGCGTCGCGGAACTTCTGGTGAGGCGGACGCGACGCCGACTGGAGCGGGAGTCTGGCCCGCCCGGCACGGATAACAGAACGGCGGGGTGGATAGGACACCGATGGTGTTATCACGCGATTGGGTCAAATGTACGGTTGGAATCCCACCAGCCCTCTGGGCGTAGGTGGTTTACCGAACGTTGTCTTCTCTCTGCCACAACTCCCTCCTTTCCCTGCTCGGGGGAGGGGTTTCTCACTGTTCCTTATTAATATACACTCCCTCCCCCACCCGGCCGGCGGCCAACCCGGAACCATGCCGACTCCATGCGGGCCCACCCCCCACCATTCTTGTTAAAAACAATATAAGCCGCACTCTGCCTCCACATTTGAAACATGCGCGGCTAACCCGATGCGCCCCGCCCCCCAGCCATCCCTGTCAAAAAGTCATGCAGGGTACACTTTGGGTCAAAGTCCTGAGTCATGTTCGTGAGGCCCGCGAGCACCTTGTATTGTTTTTTGACAAGGACGGCGAGGGTGTAAGCATGTTCCCCACTGCGCGCAGGGCTGCCATCCCTGACAAACAAAAACAATACAAAATGCACCTCGCGGCTAAATCTGGATCATTCGCGGCCATCCCGCGATCACAACCAAGTGGTTTTTGACAAGGGCGGCGGGGGTGGTGGCGCGTGGCCTGCTGTGCGAAGGCCCACCAGACACAATGATGGGCATTGGTTTCCGAGTTTTCGACAAGGATGGCGGGGGGCGACATGTTTCCCGATGTGTACTGTCACGTGCGCAAGCGCACCTGACGCACTCTGCACGTGCCCCGAACGTGGCGCACCTGGCGCGGCTGGAGTGTGCGGCATTCCTGGCGCACTCGGAGCACGTGGCGTATCTGGCGCACCACGCGTGCCTGGCACGCTCGGGCCCCTTGGCAAGGTCTTGGGGTGCCTGGCGCGCGTGGCGCCCCTGGCAAGCGTCGCGCGCCTGGGGTCGGCTTTGGTTCCCAGGAGCTGTCCATCCAAAAACGACCGCTGAACATGCTCAGGCTCGGGTGTTACTTATGTTTTGGGTGGGCGGGTGGGAGTGAGATAGGCCGTTTGCGGACGGGTGGGTAGCTTGATCCCTCCCCCTACCCCCTCCCCTGGAGCGCCCAAGATCGCCCAAGTTGGCCCTAAGAGGGCCTCAGAGAGCCCAAGACGGCCTCCAAGGTGGCCCAAGATACGTTAAGCTGGATCAGTACAGCCTCCGACACACATCCAAGAGGCCTCACGGCAGCCCCAAGACGGTTTCAAGTGTCCTCCGAGCCCTCACAGGACCCCCCCCAAGAGGCCAAACTCCTTCAAAAAACACTGCAATATCAATGTGTTTTGCCTTCTCGCCTTTTCGCTTCCGATGGGCTCTCGAGGCCCCACGATGGCCCCAAGACGGCCCAGGAGGGCCCCAAGAGGGGCCCAAGAGGGCCCCAAGAGCGAATAAGAGCGACCCAAAACCGCTCCGAAAAGCTCTGGAAACATTAGTTTTGAGCCTCCAAGGGGGTGTCCCTTCTTTTTGAACCATGGGGCCCGAGACGGCCCCAAGAGGCCTACCAGACCCCACCAACGAGCATCAAAAAGGCCCAAAGAAATCTCCACGAGATCTCTACGAGGGCTTCAAGAGTGCCCCAAGAGGCTCCGTAAGACGGCTCCAAGTGACCTCCGAGAGAACACTTGCAACGCGGCTGTCACACTGCATGCTTCTACGTTGCCCTAACCACGGTAACTCGCCAGGCGATCTGCTTCTGGATGGGTTTGGAGAGGATTTGTTTGTCGCAGCCGCAAGCAAAGGCGCCGGTGGCGTCACAGGCCGGCTCGGGCTACGATCAGAACTACTTGCGTAGCGCGCGGGCAACAGCTAAGCCTACAGCCGGGGGAAACTGGGCTGCGCCGAGGGTAGAGGCTGCAAGAGCTGCCGGGCCGCCAGGAGGCTGTGCAGGCGCGCGGGCACCCCAGAGACGAGACCACCGATATGGATGAATTGGACCTTGTCGCATCCAGGCGCCAGAGGTCGACGCAATGGTAGAGGATACTTCTTGTCGCAACCGCAGGCGAGAGCGCCAGCGGCGAGTCAGGTCCGAGCGGGCCGCGCAAGAGCCGAATTACCTAACGCCGGCGGGCCGGCGACAATGGTAGAGGATACGCGAAGCGCCAAGAATCCTGAGTTTCTGGCAGCCCTCGGCCATTCGTACTCAGCAGCGCGCCCCTGCCCGGCCGAGCGGGACGACAAGAAAACAGGGAACCTCTGGAACGAGTCGTTGCGTTCGGTGGCGCGCCCAGAGGGGGAAGGAATGCAGAAGGGGTGGGCCTTCGCAGAAGGCTTGGAAGTCCTTCGGCCGTCCTCCTCCTCATCATCTTCTTCCTCCTCCTCCTCCTCCTTCTCCTCCTCCTCCTCCTCCTCCTCAGTTAAGAAATCTGAATACTACTCTCCTCTCTCCCCTGGTGGCGTCCGCAGAATGACCGGCCCCCTTCCGCGTACTGGTTTTTTTTACACACACAGGATTCCCAGGAAAAAGGGTTTTCGCTGTTTTTTTTCAAAATTCTGCTCTCGCTGAAGCACTGACCTCACCTTCGGGCTACAGCTTGTTCCGAATCGCGATCCCGCTGCAGCGCTGGCACCATTATTTCCAATGCCATGCCACGGCATGCTTTGCGGTCCTTCCAAATAGGCCCCAAAATCTAAAAAATGGCATCCCGAAAAAACCATCGGAAG